CTCATCGTCGACAGCGCACTTCAAGCTCAAACACGACCGGTGCCGCGATCGTCTATTCGTAAGAAAACACCATCGCTCTGGTGGGATAAACAATGCACGGAGGTTTACCGTAAAAAGTCCGACGCGTTTAAACTTTTTCGGAAACGCGGAACACGCGAGCATTTCGACGCATACACATCTCTTGAACGCGAACTCAAGAGCCTCATCAAGGCCAAAAAACGGGGTTACTGGCGGCAGTTTGTAGACGGATTGTCGCGCGAAACGTCTATGAATACGCTTTGGAGTACGGCGCGAAGAATGCGTAACCGGTCTACTAACAACGAAAGCGAGGAATGCTCGGATCAATGGATTCTTAAATTCGCGCGAAAAGTGTGTCCGGATTCCGTGCCGTCGCAGTTGATTCCTCGCGAAACCGCGAATTCGGTAGACGAAATCAGTCAGCCTTTTTCAATGGTGGAACTTTCACTCGCTCTCCTTTCGTGTGGCAATTCTGCCCCGGGATCTGATAGAATCAAGTTCAACTTGCTGAAAAACCTCCCAGACGTCGCTAAGAGGCGCATGTTGAACTAGTACAATCAGTTCTTGGAGCTCAATATTGTTCCCGACGATTGGAGACGAGTAAGGGTGATAGCCATTAAAAAGCCTGATAAACCCGCGTCGGATCACAATTAGTATCGGCCCATCGCGATGCTGTCGTGTATTCGGAAATTGATGGAGAAAATGATCCTTTTTCGCCTCGACAAATGGGTTGAGACGAACCACCTTCTTTCAGATACTCAATTTGGTTTCCGTAGGGGTAAGGGAACGAACGACTGTCTCGCGTTGCTTTCCTCGGAAATTCAGTTGGCTTTTGCTAAGAAAGAGCAAATGGCTTCTGTGTTCTCGGATATCAAGGGGGCTTTTGATTCAGTATCCGTTGAAGTTCTTTCAGAGAAACTCCACGCTTGTGGATTGTCTCCATTAATGAATAATTTTTTGTACAATTTGCTGTCAGAAAAACATATGAGCTTTTCTCATGGAAACTCTACATCTTTTCGATTTAGCTACATGGGTCTCCCCCAAGGCTCATGTTTAAGCCCCCTTTTGTACAATTTCTACGTTAGAGAAATTGATGTCTGTCTTAGTGACAATTGCACGTTGAGACAACTTGCAGATGACGGCGTAGTGTCTATCACAGGGCCAAAAGAGGTTGACCTGCAAGGACCCTTACAGGATACCTTGGACAATTTGTCTACTTGGGCTATTCAGCTAGGTATCGAATTCTCCACGGAGAAAACTGAGTTGGTCGTTTTTTCTAGGAAGCATAGCCCAGCACAACCGAAGCTTCAACTTTTGGGTAAACCGATCACTCATTCCATGTCTTTTAAATATCTCGGGGTCTGGTTCGATTCCAAATGCACCTGGAGATCCCACATTGAGTATCTGAGACGAAAATGCCAACTAAGGATCAATTTCCTTCGATCAATTACCGGAACGTGGTGGGGAGCCCATCCACAAGATCTTCTGACGTTGTACCGGACAACGATTTTATCGGTTTTAGAATACGGTAGTTTTTGCTTCCAGTCGGCAGCTAAAACGCACATCATCAAGCTGGAACGGATCCAGTATCGTTGTCTTCGTATCGCGTTAGGATGCATGCACTCGACTCATACTATGAGTCTCGAAGTGCTGGCGGGCATGTTGCCACTATCCGTCCGTTTTTCAGAGTTATCTCTGAAGCTCCTCACCCGTTGCGAAGTAATGAACCCACTGGTGATCGAAAACTTTGAGAAGCTTCTGGAGCTAAATCCTCAAACATGTTTTATGACTTTGTACTACCTATATTTAACACAGGATGTCAGCCCTTCAAGAAATATTCCCAATCGTGTAATCTTCTCCGATTTCGGCAATTCAGTGAATTTTGATTTATCTATGATGCAGGAAATCCGCGGAATTCCAGAGCATCATCGTCCTATGATTGCTCCGTCATTATACGCTGCAAAGTTTGGCCATGTTGATTCTGCAAGAACGTTTTTCACAGATGGATCTCTAATAGAGGAGTCCGCTGGTTTTGGTGTATTTAATGAATTTCATAGCGCCTCTCGAAAACTTGAAGCTCCTTGTTCTGTGTATGTGGCTGAACTGCCAGCAATTCACTACACTTTGGAAACTATTGCTTCACTTCTTCCGCACCACTACTTTATTTTTACGGATAGTCTCAGTTCTGTCGAGGCTATCCGTTCCATTAGGCCGGTAAAGCACTTCTCGTATTTTCTCTTGAAAATACGAGAACTGCTTAGTACTTTATCCGTGCGCTCTTTCATCATCACCTTCGCGTGGGTCCCTTCGCATTGCTCAATTTTGGGCAATGAGAAGGCGGATTCACTTGCGAAGGTGGGCGCTATGGAAGGCGACATTTATGATCGACAGATCGCCTATAGTGAATTTTTCTCTATTTATCGTCAGCAGTCGCTCGTTAGCTGGCAACATCAATGGAGTGAAGGGAGCTTGGGACGATGGCTCCATTCAATTATCCCTAAGGTGTCGAAGTTTGCATGGTTCAAAGGGTTGGACTTGAGTCGAGACTTCATACGCGTGATGTCTCGTCTCATGTCCAATCACTATTGTCTAAACGCTCACTTGTTCCGTGTGGGGTTGGGAGACAGCAATCTCTGTGAATGTGGACAAGGTTACCAGGACGCTGATCACATCCTTTGGTCGTGTGCGGAGTATCGTGGAGTCAGATCACATTTTTATGATTCCCTTCGGGCTCGAGGTAGACAACCTAATGTTCCAGTTCAGGATATTTTGGCTAGACGCGATCTGGAGTTTATGAAACTCATATATGTTTAATTTAAGGATATTAACCTTAGATTGTAAGTTTGATTAACCTTGTGCTTAGTTTGTATTTTGTACGTGTGGGTTTTTTTCAATGTTTGTTTTCAAGATGAATAGAAATAATTTCATGCTTTAGGATTAATTAAATAGTTGTATCGTAAACCACATTTAAAACCTCCTTCTTCCCTTTTCCCATCCAAAAAAATGTAAATCTCCACTAACCTCGAGACAACCGCGAGTACTCGGTCCAGTTCCTTTAACTTTAAATTTAAGACAGTAATAATGTATAACGCAAAGGATTACTCGGCTCTGTAAAGTTTATTCGATTGAGCCTGTACAAATAAAGTAATTATAAAAAAAAAAAGAAATAGAAAGTCAATCAGTAGGTATGAATTACAAATATTAAAAGAGATGTTAAGATATTCTAGGAATAGGCCAAAGGGAAGAATAACAGTTTCAAGCTTATTAGATGGAAAATCAGCAGTTAAAAAAGTTAGGGTAATGCGCATAAGCTATTGGGGACATATAGAGAGAAGACCAGAAGGACATCCACTAAAAATAGCAAAAAAACTAAAATTTTCTTGGAAAAAAAGAGGTAGGCCGGCAAAAACATGGAATGACAGTTTAAGAGAAGATAAGGAGAAATTACCGGAGATAACAGAAGAACAATGGTTAGAGTTGGTTAAGGACAAAGAGAAATTAAAAAAACAGGCAGAGGAAATTTATAAAACTATAGGAAGCGAAGAAGAGTCTGAATCAGAGGTAGAAGACTAGAGAATCTCAAGTACTAAAATAAAATAAGATAAGGATTAAAAGAAAGACAAAAGATGTTAATAAAGGAGGAGAAAACAGGTTTATTATTTATCGATAATTGTTTGGAGAAGATTAAATTGAATAAACAGCAAGTAACACCAGAATAAAACATATTTAATCAACAAAGAAAACATTGAACAAATAGAGTACCATAAATTAGAAACATATTCAGTTTGACTACAAATATGTTTATTACAGGTTACAATATTCAAGAAGAGGTACGAAAAACATCGAAAAGTGATAGAGAAAGAGAGAGAAGAGTATTCCACTACAGATGCCGATTATCAACAGGACTCAACGAGAATCGAGATGACAAAGATTCAGCAGCAAGGACACAATACATAAGCGGTGAGATCTAACTGATTACAACTTAATATAAAAATATGAAATGCATGCTACAAAATACGTGCCATCTACAAAGCAGGAATTGCTTTGAGGATGGAAGTGTACACGCAGTACCTATATACATTTTATATCAGTACTACGTGTATGCGGGGCTTGTTGTAAGTGAAAGTAACCTCGGAATGGACGTGAGTAACCAGGCATTCTGCAATGGGTTTCTGAATCTCAACAGAGCTATCACCTTTCAACTTCCGGACTAAAATTGTTTGCAATGGGATCAGTATAAGATAATAATAGATTAGGTTGCAAACATTTTTCTTCCATAAAAACACTGCCGGACAGTGGAAGTTGGATTGTATATACATACATACATACATACATATTTGCAATTTTGCAAACAATTCTAAATTATTTATTTGTGAACAATTATATGGTTTTCCAAGCATGAATTAGATTGTTAAGACGTGTTTAAATTCAAATGGTACACCTTTTTTGTTTCCAAATGTGTTAAACTCAATAGCGTCCTAGGCGTGAGATAACCAAAAAGCTCGTTGTTTTTCGTCAGAGTACCATCAAAGTGCGACTCAAAATATTCCCAAAAATCCAGTCACTACTGCAACAGACAATATTAGTTTTACGAACACAGCGCTGGCATCGGATTACTTTGACGTTTCTTTTCATTCTACCGAACTTGCATGCAACATTATTCGAGTCGTGGCAAGCAAGTCCATGTCGATATTTTTAAGGAATATTGATTGAAAGAGTTACGGCTGTTGGTCTGAGGTGCAACCAGCAGGTTTAATATCAAAAAAATCCCCGTTAGGCGCAGTCTTCAAAATACCCCACTTCGTGATATGCTATCTTTTCAATGTAGCAATGTCACATTGGAACCAGTCCTTGATAACAGAGGGAAGCGATAAGGATGGCTTACTTAATTGCCAATATTGGGTATCAGTTATTATCTGACTAACTCTAACATGAGCGAATTACGACCATTCGATTGTTTCATACCGCTTTATTCAGATTTCTTATTATTATTTGGTCGTTTAATCACATCACAAAAACTGACTGACTCTATTTTTTCAAAGCTTGGTTTGTGCGGTTTGGTTTCGATCAAATATATTTACTAAAAATACTTATTAGAAAATAGGATTAGCAAATTAAGCAAACAATTCCCTCTCAGTGCTGATGGCTTCCGATGAAGGCATTGCAGTTCGGACAGTAGTGATCGGCATTCTTGCACGAGTTGCAACAGTATGGCACACAGATGCACGGCCAGCAGCTGCAAAAGAGAAAAAAGCGTGGTGAAATTATCGCTCTAGTGTAAATCGAGAATGATGGTATGTGTCTTACCAGAAGATAAACAGCAACAGTGCAATAATGTGCGTTTTAGTGGTGGAATTGTGTTCAACTCGCGTCCTCACCTGCGCTCGGCACGATGGACAGATCAGGGTTGTGGATTCCGGACCGACAGCTGGTGCTGGAAGGAAAAATTAGATGTTGTTTATCAATAGCTGTCTCCACAAATTGAAAGGACTTTTGCTTACTGAATATCTTGATCATTGTATTATGCTTGAATGGTGAGAAAATGTCAGTTTAGAGATGCACCGCCAGAGTGGATGAATTGGGCGTAAATGTTTGGTGTTATGAAAATGGCTATGCGCTTTAATTATCTTTATTCTAGTTATTAGTCATAGCACCGGTCCAAATGAGCAATTTCTCATTTGCATTTGAATCATTCTTGTTCAAACAGAGGTTCTAAAAATGCCAGTCCGAAATAAACGGCTAAAGCAGTAATCAACCAATTCAAGGTTTTAAACAAACACATTTGAAGCGAGCAAAATGCTGCAATTAACAGAAAGATTGTTTTATCTCACTGGGCACACTCTGCAGCACTCGAATGGCTCTTATCTGATGTTAACCGTCGGTCGACGAAGGTATGTAAATAGAGCCAATGCATATGGAGCACTTTATCCGTTTCCTCTTGTAGATGATCTGCAATTTTCTGGGAAACCAAAATTTATAATCTATTTTCAAGGAATAAAAACAACTTCAATTAATTTTGATTGATACACTATCAGAAATTCACTTAATTTGAATTAAAAAAAAAAGCTTTCAACCGATATCCCATACTCGCTGCTCACAACATGAGTCATCGTGGACCTACGCAACTATTGAACACTGATAATAATTACATATTCCGGTCACCACAAAAGCAACTGAATTGACACCACACGTCTTCATTGCATTGTTCTTGGGAGGGGAGGGGGTGGATGATTGAAATGTTCATCCCTCCAACTTCCTTTTATGCGTGTTGGAAATTGGTACCTACCTCCAGCGATAATCACAGTAGGTTGATGCATTTTGTCGTTGATTCAATTAAAATAGCAAACTTTGGCTTTACTATCACTTTCTAACTAAAATTTAGACACTGGTGGACTCGCTTGCAACACAAATCAGCACTCAGTAGGTAATTCGATATCGCCTCAAGTAGCACCACTGTTCAAAGCCAATACCTAATATGTTTCTACTGGTTGCAAGTCGACGACAGTCTGGCACGAATTGCGTGCGCTGTTTACTAGAGTTGCCTTCAATGTGAAGCCCTCTATAGCTTGTTGGTTTCTGCTGCACTGTTCAGAATCGCTTAAATAACCCATATGCATAAAACATCAAGCAAAGATGGGACTGATATGCGATTATGGGCAGTGCACAGCTTCTAGCTTATACCCTACATACTTGCAATATGTTTACGTACTCACTGGAGTAGGCACCCATTCCTACGGATACACGCGCTATACGCCACTGGCACTGGAACATGGCACTACGACACTTACAAACCGGCTTCATGGTTTGTTATCTTTTTTGAGAACGGAAAAAAATGAGCACATTGGCAAGTTTGTTTTTATGTTGAAACACGGAAACAGAAATAAAATTTCTCCTGAAAAATAAGTAGCAATTACGTTGTCTTCAAAATGTTATAAAACCCGAAATATGTTCCAGATCAAACACAGTTAAAAAACAGTGTTTAAAGAAAATCGTCCATTCACACTGAGATGTTTTTACAGGAGTCATTATTTTTTTTACTGGGCTTTTGAATCACTGAAAAACTCGGTTTGAATTCAAATGACCGTTATTCGTAAAGATTCGATAAAATCGACAAATTTAGTTAACAGAATTAAGTCTGAAAATTTACGTAACACATTTTCTCAACTTTAAAATTTTCACATGTTTTTTTTTTTTAATTTTACCAAACAGTACTGCAAGTTCAATTTTCAAGTTATTTTGCTGGAAAAATGTTAATTGCCTTGCCTTTGTTTACATCCGCTCAACAACTAGTAATCGACGTTTAAAGTTATTGTGTACGATTGGCTCATAGGCCCTATTCAGATGTTGCTCGAGAAACTCAGTCAGTCTGAATAAAACAAACGCACACGACTGTAAATCTATTTCTAGAGACGATAGCAGAATCACAGTGCTTCTTGGGCATGCTCTCCAGCATCTGTGTATTGTTGCGTAGAATGAGTTTGAGCGTCATGAGTCAGTCAAATTATTAGATAAGGAAAATAGGGAATAGCTCTACATGAGGCGTCGATGTGATTGAAGTTGTTCAACTAATAATGCTTTCCAACCAGGATGAGTCACCTCTCTTTTTTTGCATTATTAGAACAGTACGTGTTACCTACAATTACGAGTACAAGCACACTGAGCTTTGCCGAACTGAATGTAAACAAACTGACGTACGGTCGGGTGGGTGTTGAGTTAATAATTAATGAGGATCTACATGCACGGCGGTTCTACATATGACCGTCCAGTCATAGTCCACGTCAGGGGAGTCGGGAGAATGAGAAAATGGGTAAATCACCTGTTGAAGGTGAAGGTTTTTTTTTTTTTCTATTGTGGCGCTCTCCTCAGTGACCGACCACCACGTCACATCTGACCTGTAATAAAAATAAAAATTACTGTAATTTGAAGGCAACTTGCGATGAATGTGAGCGATTTGCGGCTTTGGTATGAAAGCAAAGTGGTTCAAGTATTCTGTTAGGAATGTGATTTCGTGTATATTTTTTGACGTAGACTACGTCTTACGGGAAGGTACTGGGGGTAAATCGAAAATCTAAAACTGTTTTAAAAATGGACAAATAAAAAGTGATAATTTTATCACTGTTTTCATGAAATAAACGTTCTCCCCAAACCCAGTCCTCATAATCAAGTTCAATTTGGTTGCACATCGTGCTGCTTGAATCAGAAAAGTTAAAAAAAAAACAGTGCTGCTAATGTGCCTCAACTTAACACCAGAAACTGCCACATGAAGACAAACTGCGGCAAGTGTGCTGGAACTCACTCAACTGCGTCCTGTGAGCAAGTCGATGACATCGAGCCAACGTGTGTCAACTGCGGTGGAAACTACCAAGCCTCCAATCGCGGATGTCCCAAGCGAGTGGAGTTCATTAATATCCGTCGGAAGGCCACAATCAACAACCAGGTCGGTCGCCTTCGTAATCATCGTTCGCCTCCTGTACTAACGGAAGTCCAGTACCTAGCTCTCCAGCCCCGTCGACATGTTCCGAACCTAGCCCCGCTTCCGCTCAACAACCAACAAGCCAATCCTGCGAGTATCCAATTGGTTCCCAACAGTCGAAAAGTTCAGCATCGTCTCGCTGTTGCTGCGGCCCAGCCAATTCCAGGTTCATCCACCGCCCCTGGTTTATCATACGCTGGTGCTGTCTCGTCTCAGGTGAATCTGTCGACGATTCTCCGTTCACCTCGGAGGAACTTGTGGCGCTCGTGGCCGATGTTATCATCGTCATGCGTACCTGCAAGACTCGATCTGAACAGCTTCATGCTGCCTTGTCACTCGTCACCAAGTATGGACCGTGAAGCTATAAAAATTGCAAATTGGAACGCTTGCTCACTGACGAACAAGCATAGAGAGTTACTCGATTTCCTCAACACCAAGGAGGTCGACATTGCTATCATCACCGAGACGCATTTGAAGCCCGAACTGAACATATTCCTTCCCGACTTGATCGCACCTGCTCTGGAGGTGGAGGAGTGGCCATCGCTGCAAGACGGAACATCAGTTGCCGGCGTTGCTCCAAGCAAACCAACATCAGGGACGGGTCGTCAGTGGCCCTCCGGAAAGACATCATCAAACTCACCCGGAGGAGCGGGAACTTTATCATCGCTGGCGATCTGAACGCAAAACACCAAGCTTGGGGCAACGGTCGGAGCAATAGAAACGGCATCATCCTCAATGAAGACCTGCAAGAGGGCCACTATACCATCTTGGCCCCGGACTCTCCCACTCGGTTGAGTCGGTCTGGGGTCCATGCAACCATCGACATCTTCGTAAGCAACATGGAACACAACATCTCGCAACCTGTGGCATTCCAGGAGCTGAGCGCGGACCACTACCCGATGGTGGCCGAAGTTGGATCCTCGGTAAACCGATTCGAAGCTTTCCGGCGCAACTACCATCGAGTCAACTGGGTGCAATATCAACACTGCGTCGACACAACCATCGACTACGATGTCCAACCGGGGCCGTCCGAAGATGTTGACCGGTGTCTACAAACCATCGAGGAGGCAATTTCCCGGGCCAGGGAACAACACGTGCCAGTATCCAGACAGGTGAGTAACACTCTGAACCTTGACAGCCCTACCAAAGATCTCATTAGACTCCGTAACACCATTCGTAGGCAGTACCAGCGTACTGGCCTGCCTAAATTGAAGACCAATTGTAATCGATTAACAAAGATCATTCAGGCCAGGATGGTGGATCTCAGAAATAACGATTTTGCTAGTAAGATCCTGTTATATCCGTAACCAAGGCCAACAAGTAAAACAAGCTGTTGTTAAGAGCTACTATTTATTACGTCTATCTTGGTTGGTGGTCGGATAAAGAATCAATCTCTAACTTATGACAGTCAGGCAAGGCCTACTACATCTAGGCCTACTACATCTCCCCCTTTTAGAAAATGTCATAGGAAGAGAGCCATCTTGGAATTCTTGATTCTCGTACAGAACGTCGAATAAAGTCTCCAACTGCTTCAGATGACACGGGCTTTTGTGCGGACTGAAGTTCTCCATCTTGAGCAGCAGGTTCATGATCGATTGTCGAAAAAGGATTTTCGCCAGACGTACTTGTCACTTGACCATCAGCTTCGAGTGATACGGAACCAACAGGAATAGGGACATCGTGATTAAATGGCACTTCTGGATCCAACGGTACAGCTGCGTCGCTTGCTCTGGATCATCAGAAGTGTGACGAGGGTGCATTTGGTTTACATGCGACCTTCCAGCTTCGGTCTCCCGTTCATGTCCAGTGCAACGATATAGTTGACGGAACCTTTCCGTTCGATGACTCGACCAGGAATCCAGGACTTGGCGTTTTTGCGATGCTGTTCAACGTAGACCAGGTCATCTTTTTCAAACTCGCGCTTGACTGCTCCATGCCGCCAATTGAACTGTTCGTTTTGTTTGTGGTTCTTGACAGCTTCAGTTACAGGAACAGGTTTCTTCAGTAGGTCCAAAGTGGTGCGCACTAGTTTTCCGAGGAATGCTTCTGCTGGAGACGTCGACTGCGGTGTGTTTCGGTTTGGGATTGAACGATACACCGAAAGGAATGTCTGCAGATGCTCCAGTGTGGGTGATCCTTTTCCTTGTGTCCTTGTTGCTTGCATCTGGAACAGGTGTGCGAAGCGAACGGACACTCACGAACATAGTGCTGGTCACCACACTTCCAACATGGCGTTTTCGGCACTTTTTGGTTCTTTTTTGAGGCAGGATTATTCTGGTTGCGAGAAACAATGTTGACGTTGCGTGCTTCTTTGTTCTCCGCCATCAATGTGTCCTGCTTGAGATTGACCACGCGATGGCATTCTTCCACGAGGTTCTCCAGGGTTACCTTGCTGGTGGCTTCTCCCAATTCGTTGACTGCGGTTTCGTCGGCTTCCAATTTCGAGATCAACCTAGCTTGTATGTCCGCATCCCGTGGCGATTGGAGTCCACAGACGAAACGGAGAGCTTTGAATTGGTCCGGTGTGAGCTTGGACAGCTGAAACGCTTCACAGTGTTTGTTCACCATGGTAGCATACGATGTGAAGTCATCCGCGTCACTTTTTGCATACTGGAGGCACTGGTAACGGGAATGAAAAACCGACTTCTGTCGACCGAACAGTTTCTTCAGTTTCGTGACGGTTTCGTCCAGGGTGAAGTCCCGGGGATGCTTGGGAAGAATAGTGTTGTCGTATTTACTTCTCGTGCAGAGGCGTGATTAACTTGCGAAGAAGCAATCTCACACGAGCGGCGTCATCCAGGGATTGGCGTCCTTTATAAAGACATCCTCGTACCTTGCATACCAGCCATCGAAGAAAACTCCTCCGTCCGGATCGTACTGGAAATCCTGGATCCCGCTTGCCAAGGACTCAATAATCTTCTCACTGCCAGCAGTCGGATTTCCCCGATTTTCCAGGTTTTCAATCTGCTGCTGCTGCTGCCTCGTGATGAGATTCGTTAGCTGCAGGATAGCGTTCCGAAGATCGTCGTCCGACATTTTCTTGCT